ATTAAAGGAAGTGCCCCCGTTAGAAGAAATATTGTTATTCAAACTCAAGAAATGTTTTCAGTCTTTTCTGGAGAGGAGAATCTTGAAAGCTATGAATCAGTACCAAGCGAACATCAACAAGTGGAGATACAGGCAAAGAAGCAGACGCCAGGTGTGAACGGAAGTGATGTTGGAGAAGTTGTCGTTGATAAAGGGGAAGAAGTCGCGTCTGAAAGCGGCAACGTTGTAACACATCAATCAGTGGAGTTACAGGCAAACAAGCAGACGCCTAGTGTGAAAGAAAATGATGGTGAAGAAATTGCTGTTGTTCAGAACAAAGCAGTCGAGTCTGAAAATGGCAATGTTCTGACACAGCAACCAGTAGAGTTAGAGGCAAACAAGCAGACACCGATTGTGAACGAAAATGATGTTGGGAAATTCCTGTTGATAAGAAACAAGCAGTCACGTCTGAGAGCTTCAATCTTGTAGTACTGAGTGAACAGCAACAAGTAGAGATTAAAGAGTCAAGCAAGCAGACGCCTTGTGTGAACGAAAATGATGTTGGGGAAATTGCTGTTGATCAGAACCAAGCAGTCACGTCTGAAAGCTTCGATGTTGTAGCAAGTGAACATCAACAAGTAGAGATTAAAGAGTCAAACAATCAGATGCCTGGTGTGAACAAAAGTGATGTTGGAGAAAGTGCTGTTGATGCGAAAAAGGCAATCTCGACTGAAGGCATCAATGTTCTTATAAGTGCAGGTCAGCAAGTGGAGATAGAAGCAAGCAACCAGAAGACTGGTAACGGAAGTGATGATGGAGAAATTATCGTTGACCAGAGAACATCAGTCGCATCTGAAAGCTTCAATGTTGTAACAAGTGAACGTCAACAATTAGAGATAGAAGCAAGCTACCAGTCGTCTGGTGTGAACGAAAGTGGTGGTAGAGCTGGTGGTGTTGATCAAAGAGAAGCAGTCGCGTCTGCGGAGAGCTTTAATGTTGTAACAAGTGAACTTCAGCAAGTAGAGATAGATGCACACAAGCAGACGGCTTGTGTGAACGAAAATGATGTTGGAGAAACTGTTGTTGACCCTGGAGAAGCAGTCTTGACTGAAAGCATCACTGTTGGAACAAGTGACGGTCAGCAATTTGAGATAGAGGGATGCAACCAGACGACTGGTGTGAACGGAAGTGATATTGGAGAAAGTAGCCTTGATCAAGAGGAAGCCGTCTCGTCAGGGAGCGTCAATGCTGTAACAAGTAAACATCAACAATTGGAGATAGACGCAATCAATGAAATTGATGTTGAAGAAGTTGTTGATCAGAACCAAGCAGTCGCGTCTAAAAGTTTTAATGTTGTATCAAGTCAGCATAAGCAACTGGGGATAGAAGTAGACAGTACTGATCACAGTACTGTTATCGATCCATCCTTTTGAACGAGAAAATCTGAGAGCAAAGACGTCTTTCTTGACAAGCAGAAATCCGTCGCACAGGGTTGAAACAGTGGTTTAGTGGGATTTATAAATGGTGAAGTAATTCTTTTGCTGTGAGGATTTATTTGTTTTTGCCAAGATTTTTTTTCTAGGAGCCTTTCACAGTTCACGTGAAATTCCCATCAAGGTACACCTTTCCTCAGACAGTCCTTCAAGCCAGCTCAACTATTTTCAAAGTCGCCTTTTGCTGGACTGAAATTATAAAATGGTCGCCTGAATTGTTGGTCGTTAGATTGTAATATTGCATGAACGGTTATAAATAATCTAGATGGCTGCCTTTCTTTCGCAATCAAATTATTTGGCGTTGCACGCGACATCTGAAGACAGGTGTCATACCTCGACAAACAGAGAAAAATGCGAATTATGAAGAAAACAGAACGTAAATGTTATTTCGTGCAAACATTTCTCTCACTTAAACTTCAGAAAAGTCATAGACACGGCTTGGCACATGCCCGAATTGGCGACTTTCAGCATTTTAAGTTGCCAAAAGTTTTTTCTTCTCGCCATGGCGACCAATATAGTCGGACCTTGGAGTGCTGTCAGGGAGTTTGAAGGTGACCTAACAAACATTAGGCTTCATAAAATTGCTCGCACACTCAAATAAGAACTCAGGGCCCGGTTCCTTGAAAGATGGTTAGGTTTAACCCAGGATTAAGCCAATTTTCATGCACGGTTTTCTCGTCTAAGAACATGCAACTCGAGGTTACAAAAAACTGTTGAGCTTTTACTACGAGATACAGTAGTGATTACACAAAATGGTACCTTAAGCAATGCATAGGAATGTAAAATACGAAAACGGAACAAAATTTTAAACTATGGGACTGGATTAGGACGCTATCTCTTCTTTTATTGGCCCAGCACGAGCCTGCAGTGCAATTCGGCATCGCTGACCCAACCTCACGCTAGAATTACGCAATTGCTTTTAAAGAAAAGAATCTTTTTTGGCGGGGGTGGAGGGGGGAGGGGGGGGGGAAA